TCTTCAGCTCAAGGCTAGCGCTCTACCACTTGAGCCACAGCGCCACTTCTGGCTTTTTTCTTTTTGTTTATGTGGTGCTGAGGAATCGAACCCAGGGCCTCATGCATGCAAGAAAGAGAAGCACTCTACCACAGAGCCGCTTTCCCAGCCCCAAAGGATTAAATGAATTCTAATACATAATGTCCTTAGAATGTTATCCCGAGATCTAAAGCTACATGTTGACTATAATGCCACAAAGAAGCAAACAAATCCAAAATTTGGTCCATAAATGCCTAGATGTGAGTCAGACATTTATAAATTCACGATGCAATAGTAATATCATCTTATTCTGGGCTTATTAACACAGGTATTCTAAAGGCAGAGAATCTTGATTCAGGATTTCTGTCTAAGCTTTTACAGTGAGAAGTAGTCTTCTTTAATAATTCTATAGTGTTTTATAAGTAAGACACCACTCAAGAAGGTGTGGTGGGGAAAGCCAAAATCTTCCTTTTTCATGTTAGAACACATTCATGAAGGCAGTTTCTAGATTGAATTTTATGTACTTTAAGTTCACCTGTGGTTTTGATCTCTTTGTTTCTAAACAGCCTAACACAAAGTATGCAAAAAGTGTATTTGACATGAACCTTAATTTGGAATTTGTAGAAGTTCACAGAGACAGCACAAGAGACAGTAAATGATAATCATTGCTAGCTCTCTGCTAGTTCACAGATGATTGAACTCTAGATAGGAAAACAATAAAATTTACAACTATAGAAATAAGTTTATTGGAAAAGAATTTTCTTCCTAAATATGTATACATAGGTAGTAAATTATAAATCATTCATTATACCATACAATTCAATACATACCTGAGTACCCACTAGGATCCATTCACTGTTTAGGATGCTGGAAATAAAAGTAACCCGAATAGTCAAAAATCACGGGACTCATGTAATATTCTTAGAGGTGAGAGGCAGCCAATAGAAATAATGGGGAAATGGAAATATGTTAGTTCACTGGATGGGAATATGTACATTGGAGACAAAAAACAAAAAGCTTAACAAAGCATACATTTGTGTATACAAAGTATTTGGTCGTGATTTAATGTTGAAGAGTGTCCAGAAAGAATGTCTCGGAGAAGTATTACTATTAAAAACCTAACAAAAAAAGAGAGTGTACATTTTCAGATAGATAGGAATATGAATTTGCATAAAGCAATGTAAAAAATCCCAGAGGCAGATGGTCATTCAATTCCTTTTAGTGACAGCATCAAGATGATGGTGGCAAAACAAACTAAGCTAAAGGCAAAGGAACATAGGAGGAGATGCTGTCAGAAATGATGGAGACCAGCTTAGATTACACCTTGCAGAACTCTGCAAAGATATACACTCTCTTCCTTCAAATGGGATGAGAAACCACTGGATGGTTTGGAAAGGAGAGAGTTGATCTGACTTGGATTAACAAAATCCTACTGGTTACAGTACTTTACAAAAAAACAACTCACAATTACAATTTATTCAATGTATGGTCTTTCTCAAAAAATAAAGCTACATTGCTCATTTTCTCACATATTTTCTGCCAAGTAATGCCATATTACCATATGCAGTTAATTTCCAGGTATGGGTCAGTAGAGAGATAATGTCACAATAACAGTAAGCAATAGACAGACTTGTTTACTGAAAAACCCAAGTTTTCTCAAATACATCCTCCCTTAAGAACTCACAATGCTTATGTGCACATTAAAGACATTGGAGAAGACTTAAATATGGTGAATTTGAATTTTCCCAAGCCTGTCCTACCGTGGACTTTGTTTTAAAACAAGTTGAGTTCAAATATAAGCTTCATGGCTTCTGAGCCATGGAACTTAAGAGTTAATCATTTATTTTCCTAACCTAATCTTCAAATTAGGCTAGCAAAATTTAGTGAGAATTAGATAATGTTTTAGAAGGCCCCAAACTGTGCCCTCAAGTAATGCTACTTCTCTGTGTCCTCTTTTGCTATCTTCAAAAACTAACCCTCTGTTAACATTAAAGGTATAAACTCTAACAAGACTTTGTTGCTGGTACTTAACGTACCAAGGCCATATCAAAAAAAGTTCAGTGATATAGTCCTTGCTTTTAGAATATCTACAAAGTCCCCAAAACTCTGAGACACTAAAGGCATGCAGAGAAAACCCAATTCCATAGAGAAGTTCAGTGCACCTAGTTTATGTTTTCTAATAAGCCTTAGAATGTCTCACTGGGGCTGAAGTACATGATTAGGTGAGACAGATGAGGCTCTATAAAACTCTGTGCTGAGAGTACTGTCCTCATGGACAATGACTTAAATAGTTAACTAAATGAAGATAAATAACCCAAGGAACCTTTGTGCCATTGTTTTTCTGGTTTGGAGCAAGTCATTACCTGTTCTGAAGGGACAAAAAATAAAGCCACCCCCCCCAAACCAAAAGTATCTTGTTAAAAATGTGCCCCCTACATCTGAAAGACACCAAATAGAATCAGTTTTTTTTGTAAGACTCTCTGATATGGGATCCATATCCTTACACTTGGGAAAACTTTCAAATGTTTATTTTAGGCCATTAATATAGATATCAAGAATTGTACAGATTATCCGACAACTGGATGTAAAAATTGCTAAACTAGCTGTTGTACCCTAAGGGATGATATCTCAAAGATTTTTAGCATAGCCATAGTGTGTACTACCTGATAGGGCTGTTCACCAAATCTGCTGAGACTTCTGGCTTGTATTCCAGGTTCTGTTGGAAGACAGGCAGATGTCTGGCTTGTAGTTTCCTTAGGAACTCTATTCTGCTCCTCCTCATCTAAAGAAGTCTCATCTGGGATTCCTGAAGAGACATTGCCTTGAAATTTTGTTCCTGCATTTTCTCTTTTCTTGAAAAGATAAAACCCACTAAGAGCAACCAAAAAAAGAGATCACTACTACTTTCGAATTATGCCCATTGAAAACATCTCTATTCATGAGACTATTACACCTAGGGAATCTGAATTTCATTGACTGTAAAAATGTGATCAGAAGTCTGTGAATGGAACTGTAAAATGCACCACTCATCCTGGTCATTGTGAAGGACTTAACGTTCTGAGTGCAAATAATGACACTTTGTCCTTCAGTTGGTCCTTGTCTTCCAGCTATCTGGAATGAATCTAGTTCTGTCATTCATGCCTTAGTTGCCAGAATACCTGACTTGAATATGTTTCCTACCAATTATACATATTTATATTTTCACACACTCAGAGAGACATATTGAATGGTTTATATATGATTCTAGCTAATTTAATGGTCAGTGGCAAGCTATGATAAGCCTGTCTCCAAGAATGTTCTAACCTCATTTCACCTCCAATGACTCTGCTCTTACAGTTCAGATATTCAACTCTAGTCTGTTTTACTCAGTGAGTAGTTCCATGTAGTAAGATATTTTGGGGCTGAGAGCATAGAATTACATTTGTATCTTTCACTATCAGCACTATTTACTTACTTGTAGAAGTTGTTCCATGAGACCTTGTTGGCATGGGCCAGGTGCCAGTGCCTCATACCTGTAATTCTATCCAGAAGGCTGAGATCTGAGGATCATGGTTCAAAGCGAGCATAGGCAGTAAAGTCTATGAGACTCTTATCTCCAATTAGCAACCAGAAAACTGGAAGTGGTCCTGTGGTTCAAGTGGTAGAGTGCTAGCCCTGAGCTGAAGAGTTCAGGAACCGTGCCCAGGCCCAGAGTTCAAACCCCACAGCTAACAAAAACAAAAACAAAAACAAACAAAAAGAAAAAGAAGTTGTTGGCATGGACAAAAGCTAGGGTATGAAACGAAAAATTATGAAAATTCTTTGGTAGGTTGACTTTCACTTGTTATGCACGATTTCCAGATTTTCTGCTGAGTAGAAATCTTCAGATTCCAAATTTACTGACATAATTGACAGGAGAAAATACAGGTACCCTTCAGAGAATCTGGGAGAAAGAAACAAGCCACACAAATAATGGTGATACTCAACACTGATGATGAAAATCTTGACAAGGGGAGTGGCTAAAAGTTAGGTCCTGACCTGTAATTAATGTGTTTGTCGGAAGTCATTTTAACTCTAGGGTTGGAATCAAGGGGATTGGGTGATTGTGATTTGCTCAAGTTGGGAAATAAACACAAGTATTAATATGGCTTCCATTCAACAAGTATATATTTTTGGACTGAGTATAGACTAGCATATATTAGCAGTATATATGAAGCATATATCCAGTACGAAGGATAATTTCTAAATTTAAATCCATTTAAATGATAGGAGAATTTAAAGTTTTTTCTCTCTTGCTCTTTCTCGCTATACTTCAGCTTATTTATTTCCTATTACTGAGTAAGCTTATTTTTAAAGCACATTTTAGTCCAAACAAGTAGATTCACAATAAAAAAAACTTATTAAAAAAACTTGTATTCTATGCTTCTCACTAAATATCCTTCCAGCAAAACTGAAACAACCTGGGTCTTTCAGCATTTGCTGCACATTCTTGTCTTTATGGCTGAAAAGATTCTGGTTGGAGTCTTTGAGTTCTTATCTCCAGCCTGTTTACTGAATTTGCAGTCAGCCTTCTCAGGATTAACTATCTTTCACTTTCAAAGATAGGTGCTGTTAGCCAGACTTTCTTTCCACAAAACATGGCTCTGAGGTTATTGACTGTACCCAGAAGTGAGCAAATGAATGTACACCATGCTTTTACATTTTGACTTTTAAAATTGAGTAATAAATGCACTAACTTTAAAGAAGAAAATACAGAGAAGCCCTGAGTATATAGACAAAAATTCAGCTTGGCACTGGTGGCTCACTCCGGCAATCCTATCATAAGGCTAAGATCTGAGGATTGAGGTTCAAAGCCAGCCTAGGCAGATAAGCCCTAGAGATTTTACATTCAAATTAACCACTAAAGAAAAGCTGGAAGTAAAACTGTGGCCCAAGTGGTAGAGCATGAACCTTGAACAACAACAAAAAGCTTAGAGACAGTACATGAACCTTGAGTCCAATCCTCAGGACTACCCTCTCCCCACTGTCTGCTACTCCCCCCCCAAAAAAAAAGAAAGTATGAAAAAGATTCACATCCTCCTTTTTGGAAGCAAAGATATTACATAATTAGTTGATAGTTATTGTATATAAATAGCAATTTGTTAATGAATGGAAAATAATAATAAAAAGAATTGCTCTAAGGTGCCAATATCTTCCATTTGCTAAGCTTTCCACATGTGTATTTGTCCATTTTTGTCTTATTTAATAGAATGCAAAGTGAGTGAAAGATTGTCAGATGTTCCAGATTTGTTTTATTTTCTTTTTTAAAACCATACTTTGAACAGGGCCCCAGTGGCTCCCAGCTGTAACCCTAGCTAATCAGGAGGAATGTTCCTGAGACTTTTACCTCCAATTAATCTCCAGAAAACTGCAAGTGGAGCTGTGTTTCAAAGTGGCAAGAGAGATAAGTCTGGAGTTTAAAAGCTCAGTGACAGCCCATAGGCCATGAGTTCAAGCAACAGGACCAAGAAAACTCCCCCAAATCCTAATTTGTGCTGGGTACTTGGTAGCTTATAACCTTAATCCTAGCTATTCAGGAAGCTGAGATCATCAGATCTCAGTTCAAACCAGCTCTGGAAGGAACGTTCTGGAGACTCTAATTATATCTAACTACTCCAAAGTCATAAATGTATTAGGATTAGCCTTGAGCACAATAGCTCAGGGACAGCACCCAGAGCCTGAGTTCAAACCCCAAGACAAACACACACACACACACACACACACACACACACACACACACACACTATTTTGCTCCATAGTCCTGTCCCCTCCCCACTCCTACTCCCCACAGAGTAAACAGAGTTAAGAGAATTCACATGGTCACAGGGTTAATAACTCTCAAGTGTGGGCTTTGCAGACTATGCCCACTGTTTTTGAAAGGCTAAGTCATCTCATGAGTGCAAACTGGGTTGATAAAATATTACCCTGACATGTCTTTTAAATAACTGCCTCCCCGGTGTTCAGTCATGAAGTTAGAGAGGAGACTTTTACAGACTTGTAATGAAACCGCCTAAGGCCTAATCCTAAATCTCCTACTCCTTGGATAGCCTTTCTATAGCACCTTGAACAACTTCAGTAAAAAAAGGAAAGGAATGCTGTAAAAGTAGTCACCTATAATATAGATAATTCTCTCAGTACCTCTATCCTAATGCTCATTGTTCCATTTCTAATTTATTTATTTATTTATTTATTTTTAAATGTTGTAATGTGGATAAAGGTGAAGGTGGATCCATTTGGGACTTTCTTCCAAATTCCTAGAGGCAGTAAGGAAGAGGTTAAGCTGGACCAGGAGGATTTTTTGAAGTCTTTGGCTGGGAGGTTCCATTTGGAGAAAGGTGCAGGGGAGAGAGGGGTGGCTAGGGAAACAAGATTAAGTTCTCCTTAGCTTGCTTTTCCATTCCTGAGCAGTTGGATTCTCACCTGAGGGCGCAGTTGGGCACCCTGGCTTGTGGGTGGAAACCTAAACTAGCAGAACTTGCCTGACTGACACCTGGAGACCTTAAGCATAGGCTCCGAGAGGATCGCGCGGCCCCTTTAAGTGTTCCTGTGCCGGGCTGGAAGAGGGAGGAAACTGGGAGCCTCGGGGACGTTGGGGGAAACCCGCAAGCAATTGAGCCGGAGTGGAGACGGCGTGAGAGCTGAAACTTCAGACGCTGCTGCTCCGGGCGGAGCTCGGCTAAGCTGCGGTGGTGACGGGTCGCTCCCACCCGCGAGCATCCTCCACGCCCCTCGCCATCCGCGGGGGTAGGTTTTGAGGTGGGGAGGGGTGGGGACGGGGACTCCCTCTCTTGCAGCAACCAGAAGCCAGGGGTGCCAACTGCCACCCTTAGGAAGTTTGAGCTCCGGCGGTGCTTTGGAGGGGGTGCGTTGAGCGCGCGCCCCAGTGGAAGGAGGACCGGGGCCGGGCAATGCTGGGTACTGCGCCTGGGTTGGAGGTGCTCGGAGGGCGCGTGTGAATCCGAGGGACTGTTACTGTCCCCCTAGTCGCTCCCCCCTCCCCCAGTGCCCTCTGCATCCTCCCTCCCCACCAAGGGATGGGCTCAAGGACCCGCCCAGGCAGCCTGTGTCGCCGCACCGCCCCTGCGATCGCCCCCAGTGCGCGGAGTCACCCGGGCGCAACCCCAGCACCCCGCGCTGGTCCTGCCGACCTGCTGCTACCTTTTTGACTTCCATCGCCAGCCCGGCACGCGAGCGAGCGCGGGAGAGCCCAGCGGTGGACTAAACTCGCCGCTAAGACGGAGCAGCACTTTTTCGGGACCTCCTGCATCTGTTTTTCACACCCCACCTTGGCCGTCGCCCCGCCCGGCCCTCGCTGCGGGGCTCCGGGCAGACGTCGTGGGGGCGCACGCGGGGAGGCTCGGCCAGACGATTTGAGGCAGGAAGCCGCACTCCTGCTCCTCTGCCTCGGCTCTTTGTTGTTCGCTTTGGATGAGCTTTGGAAGTAACTGAGCGTCCTCTGAAACCCCGGAGGCAGCAGGAAACCGAACCCTGGAATTCTTCCTTGGCAAAAGGGCTCCAAGACACACTGACGAGCGTCTCTCCGGAGAGGTCCACAAGTAACTGCCCCTGCAAACTCTGGGCGGATTGACCCACGTTGCTTATATTAAGCCTTTGTGTGTAGGGTGTGTGGCTTCCTAAATTTGGGGACCCATTTCTCCTCGCTTCTCCTTGGCATGAGACAGTACACAGGACCTACTCGAGGACAATGATCGCGGAGCCTGCTCACTTTTACCTCTTTGGATTAATATGTCTCTGTTCAGGTAACTTAACATCTTCCTTCATCCTAGGTTTTTCTCACCGGGCCCCCTTTCCACTTTTCAGTCAAACCCAGAGCTGTGGTTTGGTGATCTCTCCCTTCAAAGATCCGAGGGGCTCTAGCCTTGCAGAACTTTTAGGAGAAAAAGCCCTGACTTCGTATTTTGGGGTTCTCTTCTCCATCCCCCCCCAACTTTCCCAATCCTTCCCAAACCCGTTCTCTGATCTCTGCCTTTTGCCAAGTTCAGGGCACGCCCAGTTTACTCTGGGGCAAAAGCTGGTCTGAGCCCCAGACTGGGGAGCAGGCAGTGGTTGGCGGTGAGCTAGGGTCCCCAGGATGAGTGCAAACCAATTTTATCCAAGGGCTGCTACCTAGCAGGAATGGGGTAGGGGGAAGCTGCAGGGCTGGGGGGGGGGAGGCCGCGGAGACAGGAGGATTTGTGACCAAGAAACTAAACTCCCCCGGATTCCAGAATCTGGTCCCCCAAGTCACCCCTCCCCTTTCAAGCACAAGGAGTTATTTAGTAGTTGTTTTATGTAACTGAAGTCTGTAATTAAATCCGATTCTGAAGAAACGTCAGGAAATAACTCCTCCTGGAAGGATATAAACTAGCCACTGACTGACGGTTTAGAAAGAAAACAGGCGATTGCAAGTATGTGGAAGAGACCAGTGAACTAGTTGCTTGGGAGTCTTCATAGGAGGCGAGGGAGAACAGAAGGCTGAATTAGGAATTCTAGGACTAATTAAATAGTATTGAGACTCCATGTGAAGTGTTGGAAAGATGCTGCAAGGGGAACCTTCTGGCATATGAGTATGCACTGGCACTGTGTCCACACTTGGAAATAGTTTTCTTACACTCCAGAACTTTTACTATAGGTGAACGGAGCCAGAACTCTGCTTTTGTGTCTGTCCTTTGGTAGATTCTGGTTTCAATCACAGATCCTATTTCAGGCCTTAAAGACCTCTCTCTCCCTCCTTCCTCCCTTCCTCCTCCTCCTCCTCCTCCTCCTCCTCCTCCTCCTCCCCCCCTTCCTCTTCCTCCTTCTCTCTCTCTCTCTCTCTCTTTCTCTCCCTCTCTCCCCCTCTCCCCTTCCCCCTCTCCCTCTCCTTCTCCCTCTTCCCCTGGACTTCAGAGGATTTTATAGTCTTGTACTCAACTTCAAGTACCATCAGGACTTATAGGTTACAATCCCTCCATTTGCATAATTATGAAATCATTCTGAAGGTTACTTTGAGCTTTTTTGTGTGGTTTATGGTGATCCTTTCTACGTTGACCTTTTTAAAAAAATTTTTACTTAAGCCAAATAGTTAATGGAATATGAGAAAGAAATAAAAAGGAAAAACCCACATCAGCTAAATGACAGCAAATAAAACGCCTTAAAAGAATTTAAACCCAGGAGATGTGGTTCCTGGTAGAAAGTTACAAGGAACATTTGAAGTAAACTCAATAAGAAATTCATTAAACTGTTATTCCTTTGAAGAAGACAGAAACTGAGTTTCAGCCTTGGAGCTCATATATACAATATTGAGGATGGATCCAGACATTAAACATTCTTTGGGGCCACCATTCCTCACTTCCAGCTTCTCTTTTCCATAAAACAGCTTTTCCCCCCTCCCCATTTGAGTTTGCATATCTGAGTGATTGAAAAGTCACCCCGCCCCTTAGCTATGGATGCAAATCAAAAAACATTAAGATCTGAGCTATTTGTCTCTCTTTGCTCTGTCTCTGTTTAGTTACAGCTTCAGATACCTTTGAGAGTTTTGTTGATTCACCTTCCTGGTTAAAGTTTATTCACGTGTGTAAAGTGAAGTGTCACTGTGATAAATGACTGGAAGGGCAGATTACTGAAGATAGGGGGATTAATAGTCATTAGTCACTGTTTGAGCTGAGTTTGTATATTCTGGGACATTTTATCATGGCTGTAGATTAAAGATAGGGGCACCCTAATAGGATATCATGAAAATGGGTCCTGTCTGCATGCACATGCTGTTTTCATTTGGGGAAGTATGGGTGGGTGGATCATTATAGCATATGTAGTGGTCTGATTAGCAAATGATACTTGAGGATTCATACTTGAGATTGATATTTGAGGGTTAATATTTACGCTCTTAGAGCCAAGCTGATTCCTTGCATTATTTTATTGTATTTCAGTTCTACTATATCAATGATGATCTCTATAAACTTCAACTCTTTTTGCTTATCTATTTTATTTGCCAGAGTCTTGGCAAAGGGGTGTCTTTATGGGGGTACTTTCTGTTATTTAAATTGAAATATTTTTCTCAAACCATTCCTCTGATACCTTTCACTCATGCTTTGAATCTGAACTTGGGAGGCAAGTGAAGTTATTGGACTGTGAGAGTGATTAAATGACAGGGTGCTGTTGTAAAGCAACACTATTGATTTAAATAAAAATTTACAGACCTAAAAGGGTTATAACCAGTAACTTGGGTGTGCTGGAGACACCTGGTCAGAGAATGAATGAAGTTCTTGAAAGATTGTGTTTCATGTCTTGCCTCGAGCTTAAGATCACAGCCTATCACTTGTTAATGGAGTGTATTTAAGGGAAATGTGGTGAGCTTAAATAAATCAAAGTGTATTGAGGGGGTAAGTTACTTTCAACAAGATTTAACCTGTAAAAGCATCTATTGGTTGTCAGTGCTCTTTTCTTTTTTCTTTGCTTCTCTCTGTCTGTTTTTTAAACTGGCTGCCAATATAACAAAGTCCTATAGTTTGCCTCAAACAGATTATATACTCCATTTTGGTGTGTGGATGGCATACGTGACATTGAGTGTTATGTGTAGGAGTGTTTGCTTTTTGTAGCTTTATTTTTTTAATTTAATGGTGTAATGTGTATCTTTTTCTGTGAAATTAAAATATGGAGAACAGTTGAATATTGCTTTATAATCTCACTATTTTTTTCTTTCTTTTTTTTTTTTCTTTTTTCCTAATTCTGTTCCTTTCTTTTCTTTTCCTTTTTTCCTAATTCTGTTCCTGGGCTTGAACTCAGGGTCTACACATTGTCTCTGAGCTATTTTTCCTGGCACAAGTCTAATACTCTACCATGTGAGTCACAGCTTTACTTATGAGTTCTTTCCCAGGCTGGCTCTGAACCATGATCCTCAGATCTCAGCCACTTGAGTAACTTGGATTGATACATTTACAATTAAATTGATTTTATTTATTTATTTTTTTGGGTCCAGTCGTGGGGCCTGAACTCTGGGCCAGGGCGCTGTCCCTCCGCTCTTCAGCTCAAGGCTAGTGCTCTACCACTTGAGCCACAGCGCCACTTCCGGCTTTTTTCTTTTTGCTTATGTGGTGCTGAGGAATCGAACCCAGTGCTCAGGCATGCAAGGCATACACTCTACCATTGAGCCACCTTCCCAGCCCCTAAATTGATTTTATCTAACTAGCGAGTAATTTCCATTTATTTCAATGGAGAGCTAGATTTTAGGTGTGGGGGGGCACAAAGGGTAGCCTTGTTTAATAAAATAAAATAAATGAACTCTATGCATTCTCCCTGGAAGTGTTTTTTAAGTCTTCTGTCTTTGGATTTTTTCTCAAATCCATTTGCTAAAACTTGCTAAGAAGCAGATTTCAGTTCAAGCTTAGGAAGAAATTGAATTCCAGATAAAATGAATGTGTTATATGATGATGATTTTGTTTGGAGGGGAGGGTATTTTTACCTCCACACCTCTCTTAAGAGGATCGATTTTTGGGTAAGTTTCATTATTTCTGTTACTTCTCTGCTTCTCCTCCCTTCCTTCCTTTCCTCCCTTCCTTCCCTCATCCCTCCTCTCTTTGGCAAAATTTGTAATTCCAAAAAGTGCTGATTTGTTTCTTAAAACCTTAGTGGATTACAAATATATAAACTTGATATCTTAAGAAATATTTACTGATAATGGACCCTTTATCTCAAGAGGTATTTTTGATTGACAGGTCTTGAAACTGAAAGTTTACCTGAATATTTTGAGTAATTTTTCATATGACAATAAAATATTCTTATGCCAGTTAAATGCTATAAAATGCTTCATTTCAAACTACCAATGATTGTGCTTATTTATTAACTTTTTACATGAGCTAGATTATATCTGTAGTTGTAGCTATCATTTTAAAATAACTGACCAACAGAAATAATGTTGGACGGAAAATAACTTTTAATAATATCCTAAGTGGTTGAGCCATCCTACCAATAAAATCACTAAATGAAGATATGTTTCTTTTTCTTTTTCTTTTTTTGTCCGTTGTGGGGGCTGAACTCTGGGCCTGGGCGCTGTCCCTCAGCGTCCTACCACTTGAGCCACAGCACTACTTCCAGCTTTTTTCTGCTTATGTGGTGCTGAGGAATTGAACTTAGGGCCTCATGCATGCAAGGCAAGCACTCTACCACTGAGCCAACTTCTCAGCCCTATATATCTATTTCTTTAACAATATTTCTTTTTGTGGTTCTGGGATAAAACGCAGAAGCAGTCTACTTCTCAGTTAAATCTCAGCCCCTAAATTTTTAATTCTTAATAGGAAAAATGTAAACTGCTCTGCAAGGTTCATTGTTTATGGGAAAATAGAAGGAAGTCAAAGTTGCTTTTCAGTCAAAATTCAGGCCTATAGTAATCTATGCAATAATTAAGAAATTGGCGAATAAGAAAAGGCAAAGAAGAAAGTAGAAGCAGAAGTATAGTCTAGAAGCAGAAGTGTAGATCTAGAATTAGCCTAGTTTTAAAATGTGGAGGAGGCTGATGAGGTAGTTCAATGAGCTGCGTTTGATTCCAGGCACCATGAAGGTAATAACACACACACACACACACACACACACACACACACACACATCTTTGAAGGTAATAACACACACACACACACACACACACACACATCTTATCTGTCTGGAAATGAAAGACTGTAGCAGGTGAAGGCTAATCTAAGTATAACCTCTGGCCACCTACAGGGAGAAGCCATTGGGAAATGTGAATTTTTGATTGATACCAACAATGATATTCAATATGTAACAA